ACCCTCACGAGTTTATAAAATCATTTTTCTCAGTATTACTTTGCATATTGTGCACATTATGTTTTTAAAAGCCTCTCATCTTTAAATAAGGACCTGAACAAACTGACAAGTCATAAGACACTGATGTCCAAAAGAGCCATGAGAGGTTTGCAATAGAAAGAGCCCACAATTTTCATTAACTAATTCATGCAAATAACTTTTATTGTGCCCCTATTTTGGAAAGCACGGGTACAAATGAATTTTACCAAATTTGGTAATAAAGCCTGGTCCCCTAGTTTCTCTGCTGAGAGCAGGGAAGGGTAAGCAGACCACAGCCCGTGGCCAAATCCAGCACACTGCCTGTTTTTATAAATAAAGTTTTATCATAACACAACTATTCTCACTCATGTACATACTGTCTATGGCTGCCTTTCTGCTACAACAGCAGAGGTTGAGCAGAATGCACAGCCCACAAACTATTGACTCTTTAGCCTTTACAGAAAAAGTTTGCGGCCCTAGGCGTAGAGTTTAGCATAAAGACAATGAAGGTACAGCCACAGACAGGTGTCTACTTCCCAGCTGTCCGCTGAAAGAGCCTGAGAGTAATGACCACCAACACTCCAGATCTCGGCTTCTAAACAACATTCCACACTAAAAGAAACCAGGGCACCTTTGGGGAAAATGGCTCATTTGAGGGCTAGGGCAGAGCAAGAACAAGATAAGCATGGAACAAGTTGCTGTTACAGAGATGAAAAAAATTCTAAGCCAACCTAGGGGATGATCCTCTCAAATGAACCCAGGAGCCAGAGCAAAGGGCTCCCAAATCTTAAACAATTTGAGCTTCAATTTACACAGTGATAGTAAAGGATTATAACCCACCGAACTAAAGAAAAATGCATGAATTTAGAAGACAGATACGACTGAATAAGAGGAAGAGAGCAACTGAAAAAGAGAAAGAGGGAGAAGAAGGAGCAGAAAAGATTCCTTTTCAGTAGAATATCAACCAAAAAATGTAGATGGAATGACTGAGAAAATTACCATTTTACAACCATCATAGAATAATTCAGGTAAAAAATGTTAATGGATCTAAAATTTGTGAGGGAGAGTTTAATGAGGAGCAGGATATTTATTTACATAGTCTGAAAGTATCTCCGCACAGAAGTATTAATTAATGACCAAATGAAAGTAGTAACTTTACAGAGGAGAAAACTGGCACCACCTTAACCAAGGATCGAACTTTTCACCAATAATGACACAGACATTGTGTGCCCGGGTACGAGGGACTGAGAAGACCCACCATCACCTCGGTGGCATTCCTGCCAAGACAGTGTGTGACACAAATCTAATTTTAAGGAAACATCAGACAACCTAAATGGAGACGCATTCTACAAAAAACTGGCCTTGTAGAGTTTTTTGTTTTCCAAAAACATAAAGTTTTCCAAAAAGCCTATCACGAAAGGCAAAGGCAGACAACGCAGCTACTGCGAACTGAAACACTAAAGAGGCCTGAAACCACACAAAATGTGTGTCTTGACTTGGGTCCTGTAAAAGACAAAACCAGAACAACTGGTGCCATCAGCATGTGAACTGTAGATGAGATAACAGCACTGTGTGGTTGTTAAACTTCCTAATTTGGATCATTGTACGACAGTTATGAAAGGGAAAGTCCTTATTTTTAGTCAATACATGCCAAGGTATTTAAGTATTCATTTGTAAAAGATGATACATGAGTAACAGAAATATATGTGTAATAATCTCATCTTAGATACAGCAAATATATTCTATGTTAAAAAATTAGAGTGAAATGAATCAAATACAAAACCATTGTCATTCAATCTTTTTTAATTTTTATTTTTAATTGCGGGGGCACACAGTAGGTGTACATATTTATGGGGTACATGAGACAGTCTGATACAGGCATGCAATGCATAATAATCACATCAGGGAAATGGAGGAGCCCTCACCTCAAGCATTTATCCTTTCTGTTACAAACAATCTAACTATACTCTTTTAGTTATTTTAAAATGTATGACAACCGCTGAGGCGGCATCCTGCCTGCCATGTGCAGATGAGAGAACAGAGGCTCACTGAGGTAAAGTCATGGTCCAGAACACACAGGTCAACTCAGCAATTCAACAAATATGTGTTGAATAAATGCATAAAATGAAAGTATAAATTTTTTAAGTACTGGGGACTCGTTAACAGTATTCAGCCCTCCTAAAAGTTACTAAAACAGGAAGCCTGGCTTTGTCCAAAATTCTTCCCACATTTTATACCTAGTACTCATCAAGTCTCAGCCCACTCAAGTCAGTAAACAGAAGGCAAGAGGAAGCAGAAATTTCCACACCGACTGACAAATCTCTTGTTACTACTGTGTGCTTCTTATACAAACCAGATTTGGGAATTTGATTTATATACTCCAAAGCAAATTAACCGTGAGTCTAATTTTTCCCCAAAATAAACATATTACAATGGCCAGTAACCATAAGTCAGACTACCCTAACAAGTTATTTGACAAAAGCTTTCAATTTAATGCTTTTGGAGTATATTTTTCTTTAGGGTCCACTGACCCTATAATGTAAGTTAGCTTTGTGACCTTGAACAAGTTATAAATCCCTCTAACCTCCATTTCTTACCTGTAAAATAAGAACAACAAAACTATATTCATGTGGTAATCATGGATTAAATGAAGAAATGTGTGAAGAACCTAGCTACAGTGCCAGGCATACCTTTAGGCATTTCAGCAACAGTGGCTACAAAAAAAGGCACGGCTTTCTGCAAATATTGATTAGCAAGTATGCCTCTTAAGATATTAGGAATATGAAAAATGCCAATGCATGAAAATCAAAAGCAATGCACGTTTATCGATCAAGACTCATTTCAGTCCAGAAATAGCTACCAGTGTGAAAGAAAGTGGGTAACCTCGCTATGTGGAGCGCCATCTAGTGGAAGAAAAGCAGAGCACAAACCGCACAAACGAAGTAGAGAAAGAACAAGGAAAAATGATGAAAATGAAAACTGCCCCTTATCTTCGTCATAATTTCTATATTTTCTCCCATGGGAGCTCAAATCAACAGTGACCCCAAGTGTAAGCTATATATCGAAAAGAGACATTTAAAAGGGTGCCCTCACATACTCTTGCCCTTTATCATACCAAGGAAGAACATCAATAATATGCTAGGAACACCTTTTAAAATCCTTAAAATAGCAGCAGGGGCTGATTGGTGAAAAATTATGGAAATGTAGAAAAATTATGGAAATTTACAGCTTACCAATTCAGAGTAAGGTACCTTGTGCTTGTGGAGAGAGGCTGCTAGGTGTCCAGACATGTTTTAAGATATGCAGTCATAAAACTGTTTATGGAAGCTTCATTTGTTAATTTAAGCTTCAGGTGCTGTGTCTTGAATAGCATAATAAAAATCAATCAGAGCTGCTGCTAATTTTGTGCATGATATTAATGAAAGAAGCTTCCTAAAGACTGAATTTCTCCTTCAATATTTCCTGGATTGGAAAACTAAAATAATTCTAACAACATAAAATTACCCTAAGAAATGAAAGTAGATGATTTATGTATTGAATTTTTATTATATACAATATATCTGAAAAGTGACGCCAATACTCACACATCTGTCTCAGAACATTTTACAAAAATAGCAAGTAACGTTTATTAAGCACCTACTATGTGCTAGACACTGTACTCATGTCTAAAATAGCAACCCTACAAAGAAGGCATAAGGTCCCCAATTTCACAGATGGGGAAACTGAGGCTCTGAGAAATAAAGTAACTTGCAGGGGGTTACAGACTAGAAAGCTGTCACTTCTCCTAATCACACGGCTCTTTCTGCACCAGCTCATTCCTTGTTGAATAACACTGTTTCCCAAGTAAATGCCACCCACCAGATGTTACCACTGGTCAGAAAGTTCCTATGCCATTTTGCCATGCCCCTGTGTGCCCTCTGTATGGTATGCAACCTGCCCTGCTCGCCCAGGTCCAATACTAGGCATTTAATTTGAAGAGCTGCATAATCCAAATTCCCCACAAAAGTAAAACATGAAAAACAAGACATAATCAAAGCTTCCACCTCTATCTGGTGCTAACAGGTGCCCTACATAGTGTCATAGTGTTGGGCAGACAAGGATCTGAATCCTGATTCACCAGTTACTAGCTATTTAGGCAAATTAAGTGACCTTCCTGATCTCAGTTCTCTCATCTATAAAATAAGGTAAAATGACCTACTCTTTTAAGACTGTTAAACTAATTCAATGCAATAACATACATAAAGCATGTAAACCAGAAAAGGCTCTTGATAAATGGTAGCTACTATTATTAGCAATTGCAGGGCAAGTATATTTAAACATATGCCCCCCTTCCAGAAAGTCAAAAAGCAGTATCTGTGGGAATACCTTTTTTTCTTTTATGAACTTATTTTTAGAGAATGAAGAATTCACAAGTATACCATAAACTGACTATAAATCCCTGATATCATACTCTCAACTGTTTTTGTGATAAACAAAGTATTAAAATACAAAGAGCACTGCACCTCTAGGAGGCGCCTTCCAGAGACAGAACTTTAGCAAGAATTTCACTTGCTTTCTATACGGAATGCTTTTCCATTTTCTTTTTGGTCACTGAAATATACACATATTTAAAAATCCTTACTTTGAATGCCTACTGAAGATGGAAAAACACTGCCGGAGAGCACAGGAGGAAAAAAAGGGAGCTCGCCTTTTTGGTAAAACACATTTGCAGTAACCTCTTTTAAAAATTCATCACCAATGGAAATTCCTAAGAGGCTTCTGCTATAATGAAACTTTTATTTAAAAACAACAATGTTGAATTCTGTCCTTTTATCTCTTTTCTTAAAGTATCTTATCAAAACACTGCAGACTTGATTTAAAATTTCAGCCTGACTACTTACAAGCTGTGCACCTTGACTGGGCAAGTTACTTAGCGTTTTTGAGCCTTAGAGGCCTCATTTGAAAAAAAATAAAGGAGGCATGCAGGGAATAAAATCTCCTACCTTGCAAGATCTTGTGGGGATGAGAGAGAATGCACAGAAAGCAGCTGGCACAGAAGAGCTCTCAATTTGGTGGCTTTTACAATAACCATCATCCCCAATGCCAAGAAACACTCTCCTTCTATTGTTTTGGTAGAAGATACAAGTCATTCTATCTTCACTCAGTGGGACTGGTGACAACAGGCAAATGGGGCTTTTGATATCAAAGTTGCTGTTGGCGTTCAATTTGCGATTTCAATCGCTCCTCTGGCTTTCTGAGTTTCCCTTCGGCATCTGAAACTGCAGAATAACTCTCTCAGGTAAGAAACCTTCTTTGGCATGTGACTAGGGCTTCCAAAATTCTGTTTTTAATCTGTCATCAGAAATATCATTAGGAGTTTAGAGAAGGAGAGCGAATTGATGAGAGTGCAGTGATTTCATAACTTCCTGAAGAATAAAAGTAAACAAACATCTGATTCAAAGCAGATCTGACAACATCTTTTCATTATCTCCTAGAGAAGGATCCCTACTGTGCAACCACATTTAAAGAGCACTGGGATGTTTTTCTGCTTGTTCAACCCTGCATTTCACTTAGAACCTTCTTTCATTGATACGGGCAGAACTGATGACTTCATCCCCACCTCCAATTCAGGTCCTCTAAAGCCATAGCAGCAAAGCTCTTCACTGACTGCGAAATTCCAAATATACTTTCTGATTCTGCTACCCTTAATGATAATTAACACATGACACTGAAATTAAGACAGGAGTTCCCAGGGCCCTGTGCTAACACGTATGCTAGGTGCTGAAGATACAGAGGAAAGGCCAGGCCCTGCCTTCCAAGGAACTCACTCTTTACCGGGAAAGACAAAGATCCAAACAAAGCAGTGTGACGAGGATCACACCCTAAGAGCACCAGGTGTTAAGTGACACCAGAAAATAGGCAATCCAACCCATTTTGAAAAAGGTCAGAGGATTTATCTTAGGGCAGGAATGTGAAGAATGAAGTATGAAAATGGATGCTATATAATTTATCTTTCAATTCAGCACAGGCTAGAGAAAAAACAAACTGCACATAAAAAAAAGCTAGGGTTTTCATTCTCCTCCTGTCATTCACTAATTATACCACCACAGGTTGACCAGTAACTTAGCCCTTTAGACCTCTGAGAGTCAGTAGGACATGGTAAAAAGAACAACGAACTTGTAAAAGAACAAAGCTTGACCCTTCACTCTGACATTTTATGACCGGAAGCATGTCACCATGGGCAAGTCACTTTAGTTGTCAGAATCTTGGTTTCTACAACTGAAAACCTGGGCTAATAACCTCTCCATCTCTGAGCTGTTACTAATATCGAGATTACAAACATGACCCAGTACCAACAAGTGCCTCAAAAATGTCCACAGGCTGATTTATTAATAGTAAATCTAAGCCATCCAATCACTAAATAGTTCAGCATATTTGAAGGACTAGGATGTCCCTTAGCAAAGAGGGCATCTACAAACTGAAAACTCATTCTCAAATGCACACGGAGGAGAGCAGGAGCTTCTCACCAGTGCAGACTGTTTTTCCTCCCTACCCCTAGGACCCAACACAGATAACCGGCGTGGCAGGTTCTCTAGAAGCCTGTTACTAATGTTCAGTACCAAAACCCTGTACCTCCCAATCACTGGGTCACTTTTAATCATAATACACTGCATAAAACTCAAGACATGGCATATCTAATACTGAGGGATTGCATTTTCTTATAAAACAAAACAAAAAAAACCTGATAACACAAAGAAAAACAATACAAAACTAAAAACTAAATAATCACATCTTCCTTTGGACAAAACAGAAAATCACAAACTACAGCATGAAGGCACCATACCTAAATACAATTCTGCAATTCTCATTCTTACTCTCTCACTTTACAAGTCTGTGGCATTCAAGCAAATCCGAAATGTTTTCCAAAACGGGTCCCCAAAAATCAAGTTTTAAGCCACTGGGTTTTGTGGATTACAAAGAGGTGTATATAAAGTAAAGTAATAATCCTTCCTTAATGTATTTTTATCCCCCACATTTATTCTAAGTAATGCTAAGAGTTGTAATATTTGAGAAATTGATATAAAAAACATTTTGACATACGAACAAAAAACTTTTATCAACCTAGACACAAATCTGGACCACCTTAATCTTGAATCCCCTGCTCCACTTTCTCTTGCAATCAACAACAACTAAATGTAACTTGGCAGTGAGCCAGCCACCAATCCATACATTATATCAGATAATTAAAAATACAGCATTATGTAATCTTATTTAATGGTTACTTGGCTTGTATTGAAAACCATCCAAACCAATATCAGAGACTTGGATTAAATTATAATGCATAAGACATTTCTAAAGATGTTTCTTTAGTAAGAGTCAGCACATCCCCTACTAGCAAATATAAAACATGCAACACTACTTTCATCTCCAATTAACCTCTCCTTGGCAAGAACTGCAATGTCAATTCACTCTACAGGCACTAAGTGGGGGTCCAGAGTGGGATCCCAAAGCCTATTTTCTTTGACTGAGTTTTAACATCAAATAAACATTAACCACCAATTTTGTCAGAGAAACAAATTCAGAGGCCACGAGCGGTGGCTTACATCTGTAATTCCAGCACTTTGGGAGGCTGAGGCAGGCAGATCATGAGGTCAGGAGTTCGAGACCAGCCTAGCCAACACAGTGAAACCCTGTCTCTACTAAAAATACAAAAATTAACCAGACAAGGTAGCAAGCACCTGTAGTCCCAGCTACTTGGGAGGCTGAGGCAGAAGAATCACATGAACCCAGGAGGCAGAGGTTGCGGGGAGCCTAGATCACATCACTGCACTCCAGCCTGGGCAACAGAGTGGGACTTCGTCTCAAAAAGATAAATAATAAATATTTGGGAAACGAATTCATTTAGGAGGTGGAGAAGGAGAACCAGTTATCCTTGTAAAATGAAAATAAAATCAGCAATCAATGCCCACCATGAAACACAAGTCTGGAAAAAACATAAAAGCCAATGTATACCAGACAGGAGTATATCTCTTATTGTCATTCTAGCTCAACAAAGAAAAAGAGTAATTCAGTTAGGAAGTTGATCAATCTTTACGAATATTGAATTTTTAAAGGACGACTACACCTCATCTATAAACTGTTTCATTATCATAATGCATTGATTATTAAACTAATATAATGGTCACAGGAGGGCTTTAATTCAAAAGTGCCTCTTGGCCTCAGCATCAAAATCCTGGAAGATAAATCTACCATAAATGTTTGCTTCTGCAAAGGCGGCAAGTGCAGACAGAAACTTTTTGGAAAAATCTGGATAAACTTCCTAAAGGATATATATTATTTCCTATACATTGTCAGTTGGAAACAATCATACTAATCATATTGATTTCTGCAGGGTTTGAAGTTAGCAAGTGAGAAGTATTTCATTTCAACATTTTAGGAAGGCAAAATAAGAAACAACAATATCTTCAGAGACAGAAGACCTGAGAGTTCAAATTAAATCTCAGTTGCCCACAAGCTTAGATGGCTGGGATCCTCAGTTCCCTCCCTGAAAAGAGAAAACATGAACATCTGCCTTACCGGAATGCAAGTGTGAGGACGAAACTAGTGCCTTGGAAACTTTAAAATACTATGCAAACATAAGGCCTTGTTACAGTTTAGAGATACCATAAAATGTATCTATTACATGGCACGCTACGGTTCGGTTCGCCATGCTGGCCTACTCTACAATTTAGTGCCGAAATACCAACTTCAACGTGAATAACCGCTGAAAACACAGTTGCATTAGAGGCAAACACAAATACAACGAAATTAAGAAAAAACGCTTTCATATAGCCCATAACAAGATGGTTGGATTTAAAATCAAAGCTTCCTCACAATCATGTAGCTTCAGATTTAAAACACTTGTAATTTTGGACCTACGTAAGAGTGCAATTAATGTTTTAAGTGATAAAGCTTTGCATTCTGAGTATCAGCCTGTGATTTAAGAGAAAAATGTTTCAGTCTGAAGTAATCTAACAGTAAGACAAGCTTCTGAGCAGCACCTCCTCCTTCCTTCACGTGTGAGAAATATACTTCTTACAAGAATTACTTTTACGAAAAGTAAGTTTATCAAGTTTAACATCTAAAAAACACTAAATGGCAACATTTCCCCAGTAAATATCTGCTTCAAGTAACTGGAAGCCATTAACACTAGTAAAAACACAGAATCCAAAAGAATTTTGGACGTTTTAGCAACACAATACTATGGCAACATGGCAGAGAAAATCATTCTGACTTTTAAAAATAAGATAACACACTACACTTTTAGTTTAACTGTTCCTTAATTAAGTACAACCTAACTTTGATTCGGCCTCTCTATTAGGAAAAATGCACTTGAGTCCACAGTCCAGAATATTTCCAATTCCACGGATCTCATGCAATGTACAAAGAAATTTTTTTCACAGAGACGACAGCCCAGCAGGCAATAAAAGATACATGTAAATCATCAGGCGCAAGGAGTACAAACTCAACTGCAGAACTGTTCAGAGGGCACAGAAATCAAACTTAGGAAATTCTTTTCTTTTATTTAGTAATGCATGCCCATTACTTTTTCACAAGCCCATTTTATTAAAGAAATAAAAATAAGCCTGCAATTAAAATAAAATGGGGGAGCTCCGTAAGCCTATTTCTGTTCATCAATTCAAATATTCTTAAATTCTTGGAGACCGTAAGAGTCTCTCTATCACCATCGGTCGACTACACACACACCCTACTCTGAAGAACTGGCTGAAACAGGCAAATAGTGGAGGTCACTGTTTTAAAATATAGGTATCTATATACAAATAGAATATGTCTGCCTCATCTTTCACTTCCAACAATAAAAGAGCCAGGGCGAGCACTGAGAGCAGCAGATCCGATTCATCCAGGGAACCACAGACTGTCAGTGCACAGTAATTCCTGCAAAAGGTAACAGATCTGACCAGATCATGTTGCTGCCATTTCCCAGAGAAAAGACAGACCAATTGCCCCCACACCCATCTTCATCTGAAATACATATTCCAGGAAAAGTAGGAGACTGCTCCCGGGAAGGAAGGCTTAATTTACCGTGCATCCCAGCAGATGATTCAGGAAGCCACAGGAGGAGAAAGCCAGGGGAACAAGGTCCCCGGTAGGCGTGCCTCCAGATACCCCTGTATCCCTGTCCGGCAGTACTTCCTAGGACCTTTCACACCCTGAGCTGGCTAGAGTCGTGTGAAAACGGCAAGGACTCCCTTCACCACCGTTCCAAACCTCAAGCCAGCCACCAATGAGGGCCACCCAACCCAACGCCCCCCAGAAGGGTGCTCTTTTGCCGGCCTCCTCTCTCCTACTGACTTCTCCAAGGGCCAGCCTGCAAGGCTTGGCATGGGCTGCCCACCCCACCCCGGGGAGGGCTGACTGCCCCGCCAGGGCTGCTGGAGCCTGGACACAGGAGAGACAAAGGGCTGGGAGGGTGAACTGGGCTCCTCCCCTGGGACCACGGAGCTCCTCTCCTCTCAGGTGCTGGGGTCTGACCCCAACCCTCTTCCAAGGTCCCCAAACTTCGCTAACAATCCAAGCACCTGTTCCCTTCGCCTCTTCTGCATTTCAGTCCCTCAAGTCCTTCCATTTTCCTCCAGCTTTTTCTCCAGTACCTTAGACAATCCAAACACCCTACTTCCCCGAGTCTAACACGCTCCCCTCCCATGAGATAATTCAACCTCGTCCCCAACAAAGCCCCCAGATGGTCGCTGTCCCCTACCCAGAAGTTTCCCCTGGGTGTCTCTGAGTCCCCAAAGATTTCCTTCAAGTCTCACCCACGCGCCCCAGCCTTCTCCTTCCTTTCCGAGTCCCCAAAATTCACATCGGGGTCTTCCCCTAGGTGTCCCACAGCCTCCCAGGTCTCCGTGCAAACGCCCCCGGGGGCCATTCCGGCCTCCGTCTCCGCCGCGTCCGCTGACAGCAGAGCGCACGGAGGCGCCCCCCGGGCCCCCGCGTTTCCACCCGGCCCCCAACCGCCGCCGGCCGGCAGTTAACGGCCGGCGCCTCACCTTGGTTCACCAGGCGCAGGGCGTGCGTGAAGGAGGGGTCCAGGGAGTCCTTCTCCGCCATCAGCTCGGGTAGGTACTTCTCCTCCATGCTCGCCGGCCGCCGGGCCCGGGACGTGGACTCCAGGCGCACGGGCGGCGGCGCCAGGCAACCCCCGACTCCGCCCGCGCCCCCAGCGGCGCGGACCCGGGGGCCAGACGCGGCGGCTGCGGCCAAGCCGGGCAGTCGGCTGGGAGGAGGCGGCGGCGGCGGCACGGGGGCGGGAACCGGCCGCTGAGCCCGGATCCCCGGTGGCCGCCGAGTGCCCAGCGCCGGCGGCCCCCGCGCTCCGGGCGCGGGCCAAGGAGGAGCGGGCGCGGGCGGCGCGGTTAGGCGGGCCCTCGGGTCGGGCTGGCGGCGCGCTCGGCGCCCCTGAGGCAGTCCACGGCGATCCCCGCCAGTCCCGCCAGTCCCGCCAGCACCTGCCAGCGCCCGAGCCACAGCTGCGACCTACACGCCGCGCGCCTCCCCGCGCACTCTGAGCCGCCGCGCCGAGCGCCCAGCGCCTGCCGCCGGCCCCGCCCCGCCCGCCCGCTCCGCCCCGGCCCGGCCCGACCCTCACGCACGCCGGCCCGCCCCGCCCCGCCGCCCAACGCCTGCCGCACTGGCCCCCACCGCCCCACCGCCGGCCCGCCCTCCTGGGGCCGCTCTCGGCTGCGCGCCCGTCGGGACTAACCGGGCGTCTGCAAGAAGGGGTGCTTCAAGGGCCTCTCCCGCGTGCCTGGCGCCCACCTTTGGCCCTGAGGGTCGAGTGGGGAGCCCCACGACCCTCTTACAGCCTTCCAGATGCACGGACTGGGAAACTGGGGCTCAGAGAGGTCAAGTGGCTCGCCCAAGGTCACCCAGCGAGTGATCCTGGGAAGAGGGGACAAGGGTCGAGCTGGAGCTGGGAAGGGCGCCCCAGTTCGCCCCAGCCGCGCTCTGAGGAAAAGCAGCGGGACCGTCCTGCTCTCTAAAGCTCCGTGGACTTCTTTAAGTTATGTCGCGTTGCTGTCCCCTCGTATTTACAAGAGAGTAAGGCAGGGGCGCCGTACTTTCTCCTCGCCTGAGCTCAGAGCGCCAACCTCCTGCGATCCGCCAGCTCAGAGGTCTGTTACATAAAAGCGCGTGTCCTTCTGGACGTCTTTGTCATCCCGACTTGCTCCTGGGTTGTCATTCTCTTAGGTCATAAACCGGCTGTGCCTGGACACAGCTGAGTGAGCCGCGTCTGAGCTCATCCGCTCCCGGGGAGAGGCCCTGGGACGCCCCGCCTGTCGGTGGCAATGCCCTCTGTCCCCTTCCGCCCACCCCCAACCCCCAGCAAATGCGCTCCCAGGCCATTTCATATTTCCCGAGGCATGTGGAATAAACGTCCCCCAGGAAGGCCAAGGACTTCAGTCCTTGCCCTGACGTTTTTCCTGCCTTCAAACACCCAGCTCAAGTCCCAGCCTCAATGTCACCTTCCCTGGACAGCCTATCAGGACCTCCCTGGCAAAGCAAGTCACTTCTCTGTGTCCCCCCAGTTCGGTCAGAGGTCATTCACAGTCAGCTGTAATTCTCTTTTCAGTAGACCATGAACATCAGGGAC